GACGGACGGACGGACGGACGGACGGACGGACGGACGGACGGACGGACGGACGGACGGACGGACGACGGACGCCGCGCCACGGCATAAGCTCACTTGGCACTTCGTGCCAGGTGAGCTAAAAATGTCTTACCTTGCTTATCTTTAGATGGTTTCTTTTGTTTCTTTTTCTTTTTTTCTGCTGAAGGTTTCAATATAAATACATTAATAATTTTCTTCAAAGAAAAGCATAATTCAATTTATATCATTTACATTTATTTTTTCCTTGTTTTCAATTTGATAGCACACAGGAAAGATTTTGTAACTCAGAAACAGTATAAACAAGCAAATTCGTGGCAGGACATATTGTAGGTTAACATTATTGAGGTTAGGTTTAAACATTTGAGTATCATGCTGCTGAGACATAATGTATAGCTTGAAACTTGAAGAAAAAAAAGAGCCCTATACCTCACTGATTATCCGTAAATATGCACAAATCACATCGGTTGGCAAACTTAATAGCATGAGTCAGATGTGCATACAGAATTTGGTTGAAACATCTGAAAAATATCTACAGCAATTATCACACGAAAACCAAAACCGTGCCCAACGTGGTGGAAAGACATAGGAACACAAACATTGTTATCAAGTTTGAAGGAATTTGGCTAATATCTGCTTGAGTAATTAAGCGGAAACTGAAACATGTCTTTGTCGGCTCCACCTGTTGATACTACCAGTCATTTAAATATTATAAGATTCTGTGCTCTTTGGTTCTTCTTCAGAAGTTGTTTGACATATTTTGCCCTGTGACCTTGTAAGTAGGTCAATGTCATTTTCCTTCTCAAACTTTGTAAGCTCTATCGAAATAAGCTACCAGCCAAATCTTATGAATCCATTCCTTTTGGTTCTTCAGATTAAATACTTTGAAATGTTGTTGACCTCTGTGACCTTTAAAGTAGGTTGAGGTCTTTTTCATTTGCAAACTGTGGTGAGCTCTATCCCAGTAAGCCACCAGCCAAATATTATAATTTTATGCCTTTCGATTATTCATCAGAAGTCATTTGATGTTTTTGACATATTTGACACCTGTGACCTTGAAGGTAGGTCAAGGTCATTTTCATTCTCAAACTTTGTCAGGCTCTATCTCAGAAAGCCACCAGCCAGATATGAAGGTTTTATACCTTTTAGTTCTTCAGAAGAAGTTATTTAAATAGTTTGACATATTTGACCGCTGTGACATTGAAAGAAGGCCAAGGTCATTTTTAGTCACCCCTGGGGGAACCCCAGTGGGGACTATTAATTTTGGTTTCAGTCCCAGATTTTGACCTCTGTTAGTAGGGCTGTTGTGTATCTTGCTTCTGTCGGAATATACCAGGCACTAACTACAAGCTCTTGGATAACTCAGATATCGATTTCCTTTTTAAACAGGAATAGCATAAAACCTAAAGGCGTTCCAAATTTCCCACGGGAATTACATATTACCTAAAGATGTTACGAGTATGAATCAGGCACCTTTGAGGTTCCCGAAGGGGTAAACTGTCGTATTATAAATTGCTATTGACTGATTTAGATATTTCATGTCTGACCAACGACTACCTTTAATATTTGCGTATAGTGCACACTTTTTTAAGGGGAAAATGAAGTGTTAAGAAAGGGGTGTACACAATACTCAAGAACAATCCAAAACCAGTCCTTAGTCGCGACCATTTCTTGTAAATTTTTCGAGGATTTTCGGAAATGTTTTGATATATGCTAACAGCAATACAACTGCTAAATTTAGTTGAATAATCCCTGATTGCATTGCCAATTTAACAATTACGAAAAGTTGCAAGTTTAAGTCATATAATACTATAGAATCGGATAAATAAACTCTAGTAAAGTAGGCTCAATTTTTCAGGAAGTTACGTTATGAATTGATAAATACCACGTATCGGAAAAAATAACGAAGAATTGCATCGGATTTTTTACTCTGTGGTAAAAATGTCGTTCTTGGGTAAAATCTTGCTGAACTCTTCATTCTTGTCCGTAGGAATGTGTCAAAACGACACGGGTAAAGTGGCGAAGTTAGCAAGTTTGTGTAGGTCGCAAAGAGTCGAAGTTGCGTGATACTATTAACCGGCAGGAATTTACAAAGTGACATCCATGCGAATTGAACCAATAATGATAAAAGTTTGAGTTTGAAAATTAAATATCAACGGGTTCAAAATAGCCAAATACATTCCGATCATTTCTTTTCGAAGGAGAATTGCTGATATCACAATTGTTTGGTGTTCTTCATGTCTTGCAAATCCGGCTGTTGGCGGTCCTTGTCGGAGTGACTGCCTTTAAGTGTACAGTACATTTTGACGATATCGATGACCGATTCAGTCGGATTTGCAGACGATCAGAAAACTACTTGGAAAAGTGTATTTCATACCAAAAAATAGTAGAAGATTTATCCGTATATAAGATTGAATCTTTTCTGAAACTTATTGTTGTGAAAACAGCATCGTTATATTCCAATTACCTGTTCTGCCCATGCCAGGTGACCGTGTCAGCGCACAGATCTCCCCGTATTCGAGGTGTCGGTCAACGCTAACGTTATATTTGCGACATGCTTTCCTATTAATTCCATTTGTTGCCATGGCTACCTGAACAGCATGTATATACACCTGGTAATTGTTTACTATTTTGATTGACAGGTGGAAATATATCCGTTGTAGCTTTGTCAATGATTTATCGGAAAATGATCATACAGAATGATGGGGTGACTTTCATGTCATTCTGACATATTTCTAGTCTTTCTTAAACTTTGTCCAGTTCCTACCAACGAAGCTTTCAGTCAAATATCATGGCTCTATACCTGTTCGTTCTACTGAAGAAGTTGTTTAAAGGAAAAGTTGAAGGACGACGACGGACGCCACACCATGACATAAGCTCACTTGTCCTTCGGGCAGGTGAGCTAGCTATACTAGAGATCAAGGGGAACTTAGACATCAAATTTTAAAAGGAAGATCCTTTAAGTACTTTCTGAGAAAAAGTGATAATAAGAATTGTTTGAGGGACAATAGATCACGGACAAAAGTGCCATTTGATGAGATCAGGTGGGCTTAAAATCTCTATTCAAAATGATATCAAACTGAACTTTTTATCATATTCATTACACAGATTTACAATTTATTTGTTTTATTAAATTAATCATTGATTATGAAAGATATATGACATGCCAATGTGTCACAATACATCGGATATATCAGTTTTCCAATATAATAAGACAGCCCTAAATGTTAACAACTTTTTCTGGTAGATTTTATATTTTATACTTCATTGGACAAACTATTTGTACAATTGAAAGTGTAGTAACTTTGTTTTGTAAAACATTAAGAACTCTGTTAAGCTATTAAGAAAGATTCATGTGTTTGTGCATATGACAATGGCATATCAATAGTTTCTGCATGTAACTGACATGTATAGAGACCATAGGAAGGTGGGCTGTGAAATGGTATGTGTTCTTGATTGAGATAAATGTAATTCCATAAAAGAACAGATTTTCAAGTAATACTATGTGCCTCTGGAAACAAGACGCCCTTAGCGGTCACCTGAGTTATATATTATAGGTACTGGTAGCTCAATTCCATTGTTGAGATGCACAAAATGTGGAAATCAACAAGTAAACAATGTGATATACAATACTTGTCATGTCACTAAAGGATAAGAACTTTAAAAACTTTTCAAATAAATTATTTTGCTATTGACAAATATAACATATATTTCTATTTAGCTCTTTCCTCTTTGACCAACCCCTGGAATAGGTCAGGATCTTACCTTCTGATACTATTTGATTTCAATTTCATTATAACTATTCCAACCAAGTTTGAATTATTTCTTGCTGAAAATAGACAAGATATAGTCAGAAGTGTTATTTCCCTAAATAAAGCAATTGCAAGGAGAACAGATGACAAAAGGGATTATATAATGCACCTTAGGGCATTTCCATCCATAAAAGAAATTTGAATCTTGTACATCTGAGTGCAGAGATTTTTTTAAATATCAGCAATTTTCCCCTTTTTGGACCAGCCCCTCCAGCCCCTGGGTCAAAGACATATATTAATTTTATTATACCATCTAATTGCCATCTCATCACAATTATTCTAGCAAAGTTTGAATAATTTCTTGCCGAAATTAGACAAAATATACCAAAAGTGTTACCAAAACCTATATAACCTATAGTAAGCTTTACCCTCTCCCCAAGGGAGAGCAGATGACCTCTGATGAAGAAGATTTTTTAACTTTTAACCATTTTCCCCATTTGGGCCCCAACCCTCCAGCCCCTGGGTATGGGGCGGGATATTATTTTCTCATACCATCTAATTGCCATCTGGCATCATAATCATTCCAATCAAGTTTGAATATTTTCCTGCTTAAAATGGACAGAATATACCCAAAAGTATTATTTCCCTATATAAACTATGGCACTTTCCCCCCTCCCTAAAGGAAGAATTGATGGCCCGGGGTTAATGAAATTAACATATTAAATAAAGCCCCTGATGATCTTTCCATTTGGGGCCCTGCCCTGGCCCCTGGGATTTGGGAAGGAATCCCGATTTTTTAATTTGATACCATCTTCCTCCAATGCTGATTCTCATCAAGTAAGAATAATTTCCTGCTGAAAATAAACAAAATATACCCAAAAGTGTTATTTCTCTAATAACTATAGTAAACTTTACCCCCTCCCCAAAGGATAACGGATGGCCAGGGGTAATGAAATTTACAATTTAAATAAAGCCCCTGATAATCCTTCCATCCATGCAGGGAAATAGACTGTAGTACCTCTGAGTCTGGTAGGAAGATTTTTGAAAAAAATGTTAATTTTCCCTTTGGGACCCCACTCTGACTCCTGGGGTTGGGTTAGGTATCCCAATTTAACTGTTCTGTAGCTTAATCTACCAAGGATGATTCTGATTAAGTTTGAAAAAATTCCATCCACTGGTTCTTGAGAAGAAGTTGAAAATGTAAAAAGTTTATGGACGACAGACGACGGACGGAAAGCGTTCAGAATAGGTCACTTGAGCAAAGCTCAGGTGACCTAAAAACTGAACTTAATGATTATCAGGAAAGTTTGATTGGAGAACATGGTTGGTATACAAAGTGCTTGTACTTGTTAAATTCTTTTTCACCGTTGATTTACATTTAAGCTGATGGGGCAATTTCGATATCACAAATTCAAATCAAGTTGTTTTTTTACAAGAGATCCCAGAGGGATCTTGGCACCCACCAGTTTACCATCTCCAATAGTTCTTTGTCAGTCTGATCTTTTCTCTTCTTTTCTCTTATCTGTTTGATACAGTCAAAGTAAATGCACCTTGGGGTAAATTTTGATCTAAACTTGATACTGCGGTGAATAAAAGACAACCTTCAAAGTAAGATTGTTATTTCACAAATTAACTAGTTCGGTACTTAATGTAAAAGAAATAGAACCGATTATTGCAATATAATAAAGATCTATTAAGTTCTTCCTGTCGGCCATATTGTTTATCCGATCAGTCTCAACTACAGACCAAGAGGAACCTACATGTCAAATTTGACAAAGATCCCTCCAGTACTTCCTGAGAAATAGCAACAAGAGGTCCAATGGGCCTGCATCGCTCACCTGGTATCAATCTCGCACTTATAACCTAAAAAGTGATCTAAAACAAGAAGGCCAGAGGGCCTGTTTCGCTCACCTGGATATCTAAGCAATCATGGCAAAATGTTTTCCAAATAAGATCAATAGGAATGGGCCAGAGCCCTAGGCCAATTCATGTAGCATTTCTGTATCTGATTAATCATGCCCAGAAACTTTATGTATGGTTATGCGGTCGGGATCTCAACTGTTTCCAAGCTGTGACTCAGAAACTAGGTCCCTAGGGGTTTGGCCAGATATCAGGACTGCTTTCATCTCTTTATGCCCAGCAATTGTATATAAAGTTTTGGGGTGGGGATAAAAACCATTTCAAAGTTATGACCCTGGGGTTAAGTCTGCAAGGGTGGGGCAGACCCTGGAGTCAATTCTAATATCATGACTGCATTCCTCTCTTTCTGTCCAACAATTGTATATTCCTCTCTTTATGTCCAACAATTGTATATGTAGTTTTGGGGTGGGGATCTTAGCTGTTTCGAAGTTATGACCCTGGGGTAAAGTCTCCAAGGGTCAAGGGTATGGCACACCCCGGGGCCATCCTGGAAGCATATGTGCATTCGTCTCTTTATGCCCAAAAATTGTATATATGGTTATTGGGTGGGGATCTCAACTGTTTCCAAGCTGTGACTCAGAAACTAGGTCCCTAGGGGTTTGGCCAGACCCAAGGGTCTATTCTTATATTATGACTGCTTTTGTCTCTTTATGCCCAGCATTTGTATATTAGTTTTGGGGTGGGGATCTCAACCGTTTCAAAGTTATGATCCAGGGGTTAAGCATGCAAGGGTGGGGCAGACCCCGGGGTCAATTCTAATATCATGACTGCATTCGTCTCTTTATTCCCAACAATTGTATACATAGTTTTGGGATCTTAACCGCTTCAAAGTTATGACCCAGGGACTATGTCGAATGCAGAGACATCCTTGAAGCATATGTGCATTCTTCCCTTTATATACTTACGTAATAAAAATTGTTTGACCACACCCCTAAGCTCGGGGAGTCAGCCCCACCATCATTTGTACGATTTTGAATCCCTGCCTTCCATGAATGCTTTCTACCAAATATGATTGATATCCAGTGCATAGTTCTACAGAAAAAGTCGTTTATAGCAATATAGCTAAATTAACCCCCTTTTGGCCCCTCCCCTCAGCCTCCTGGGGGGTCAGTCCCACCATTTGTACGATTTTAGATCCAAACTACCTAGTGATGCTTCCAGTCAAATATGGTTGATAGCCATCTCTTAGTTCCAGATAAGAAGTTGTTTAAAGCAATATAGCCAAATTGCCCTCTTTTGGCCCCGTCCCTCAGCCCCCTGGCGGGTCAGTCTTACCATTTGTATAATTTTGAATCCTCACCACCTAGGGATACTTCCAGTCAGTTTTAGTTAAATTCCAATCAGTTGTTAAGAAAAAGAAATTGTGGACAACGGATGCCATGGTATGGCATAAGCTCACTTTTGGACCCGATGAGGTAATAAAGCTACCGGCAAAATATCAGCATTTATGACTATATGTCATTCAAAAGAACCTGTTAAAAGATTTCAAATTATTTCACCCCTGTGACCTTGAAAGTCGAACAAGGTAATTACATTGAACAAATTTTATAGCCCTTCATATCATAATGCAACTTGTAAAATATCACCACCCTATCCTTTTGTTTATTGATATTAGGTCATTTAAATGTTTCTACATATTTTATCAAATGTGACCTTGAAAGTGGGTCAATGTCATTCAAATGAACTTGATAGCCCTTCATCCATACATATTAATATAAACATTCTTAGTTAGTCAGGAGAAGTCGTTTAAAGATTTTAAACAAATTTGACTCCTGTGGCCTTGAATATAAGTCAAAGTCATTCACTTTAACAAACTTGATAGCCCTTGATCCAAGCATGCTACTGACCAGATATCAACATTCTAGGCTTGTTGGTTATTCATAAGAAGTCATTTAAAGAGGTTAAACATATTTGACCCCTGTTACCTTGAATATAAGTCAAGGTCATTTATTTGAACAAACTCAGTCGCCTTTCTTCCTAGCATGCTACTAGCTAAATTTAAACATCTTGGGCCTTATGGTTATTCATAAAAAGTCGTTTAAAGATTTTAAACATATTTGATCCCTGTGACCTTGAATATAATTCAAAGTCATTCATTTGAACAAACTTGGTAGCCCTTCATCCTAGCACGCTACTGGCTAAATACCAACATCCTGGGCATTTTGGTAATTCAGAATAAGTTGTTTAAGGATTTTGAACATATTTGAATCCTGTGACCTTGAATAAATGTCAAGGTCATTCATTTGAACACATTTTAGTAGCCCTGAATCCCATCATGATATTGGCTGAATATCATCTTCTGGGCCTTTTGGTTCTACAGAAGAAGTTTCAACATCTTTGACCCCTGTGACCTTAAATATAAGTCAATGTCATTCATTTAAAAAAGGTGATAACCCTTCATCCTAGTCTGCTACTGACCAAATATCACCATCCTGGTCCTTTTGGTTATTTAAAAGAAGTTGTTTAAAAGTTTTTTAAGACAATTGACCCCTTTGACCTTGAATATGAGTGAAGGTCATTCATTTGAACAAACTTGGTAGCCCTTCATCCAAGCATGCTACTGGCCAAATATCATCAACTTGGGCATTTTGGATAATAAGAAGAAGTTGTTTAAAGTAAAATATTTACGCTGGACGGAGCACCGTGGCACAAGCTCACTTGGCCCTTTGTGCCAGGTAAGCTCAAACCTTGCCCAAAAACTTAAACCTCAAGCTTGCCCAAAAACTTAAACCATATCCAATTAAGCTGTTTTTGGCCCCTTAAATATGAAAATATGGTTCAGCACATTACTTACACTCGATATACATGCCTTAACCTCATAATAGAGTATTGAGTATATGATCCAACACTGTCTGGAAAAAACTCTAACCTCAGAAGGTTGGACGCTGACGCCAGGCTACATTAGCTAAAAAAAATCAAAGTTATTATAAAATATCACCTTTTATGTGAAAGATTCAACAAATACTGCTGGTAAATTGTGAAAGGGGGGATCCTTCTAATTATCTATTAATATTTACATAGTTATCAAATGTACCTTTCTGTACTTCAGCATACACATCTCCACTTCCTTCTGCTTTTCCTTTTGCTGCTGTCCTGTCCTTCTTTGGTACCACTTCAGCATTAACTGCACCTGCTGGAGTTTTCTTGTTTACTATAGCATATGCATTTTCAGGTTGTCCGCTTTCATTCGGGTCTTCTTGTCGATATGGGCCAGCAGATTCATACAATATGTTCATTTTTATTCCATCTGTAATTTTCAATGACAAATTACAATAGCCTGAAACAATGGTGGCCATCTTATCACAAAGAATAAACAACGCTCAAGTTCAAAAATTAAACATAATTGTTCCAATTTGTATTAACAATGATATTTTCGAACTTAATATTAATATTTCAACTTTCAATCAACCCCAAAAATTTTAACACCAGTTCATGTTCAGAAATATAAACAAGAGGCCCAATGGGAATCTTACACTTGTTATCTTAAAAGTGGACTAAAATACATAATTCTTTTTAATAAAACACAGGCAAAATACCAGTGTTAGATTCAAAAGAATCTATTAAAGATTGAAACATGTGACACATGTGACCTTGAAAGTCAAACAAGGACATTCAGTTGAACAGACTTTATAGCCATTCAAACCAGCATGATTCTGGCCAAATATCATTACCCTGGACATTTAGATTATTCAGAAGGTTTTTTTAAGATTTCAATATACTTGACCCCTGTGAGCTTGCAAATGGATGAAGGTCATTCATTTCAACAAACTTGGCAACCCTTCATCCAAGCATGTTACTGGCCAAATATCATCACCATGGTCCATTTGGTTATAAGGAAGAGTTTTTTTTAATGTTTTTAACATATTTGACCCCTGTGACCTTGAATATAGGTAAGTCATTTATTTTAACAAAACTTAGTAGCCCTTTATCCTAGCATGTTACTGGCCAAATATCATTATCCTAGGCCTCTTAAGTTATTCAGAAGAATTTGTTTAAAGATTTTTTAAGACGATTGACCCTTGTGACCTTAAAAACGGATGAAGGTCATTCATTTGACCAAATAGGTAGCCCTTTATCTCAGTTTGCTACTTGCCAAATATCATCACCCTGGGCACTTTGGTTATTCAGAAGAAGTTGATTAAAGTTTTTAACATAATTGACCCCTGCGACCTTGAAAACAGGTTAAGGTCATTTATTTGAACAAACTTGGTAGCCCTTCATCCCAGTTTGCTTTTGGCCAAATATCATCACCCTTGGCCTCTTGGTTATTAATAAGAAGTCGTTTAAAGTAAAATATTGACGCCGGACATCGCATCACAGCATAAGCTCACTTAAACAGAAAAGGAAGCTTCTATTTAACTCTGCTAGTGCTTTACTGAAAGTCGTCTGTTGATAATAAATAAGGGACTTTCATTTTTATCAGCTTTGCATGTTTGCTTTAATCATTCATACATAAAAGCATTGAAGATATTTACCATCATCATCTCTATCATTGTTAAATGGAGTAGCATCTGACCTACAAACAAAATAAAACATGTTACGTAAAAAAGGCATCACAAACATGACTTAAAGATAAATACATTTACAGGCATTTATTTAGCATTAAAAGAGAATAATGTGACTGTCTGTAGAAGCAAATCAGTGATCAAAGTGTTTTTAATTTGAATGCAGAATGAAGCAAGAATGAAGCAATGTCCAGAGTGGTATACAATTTTGTTTCTTCTATTATTAGAACAGGAGGCTAAATGGGCCTGTACAAAAATGGGACATGGATATGTATGGAAACAAGAAATCCTAGAAGGATCTTGGCATCCACCATGACAAGATCTTTATCAGATTCATTGTGGTACTTTTGGTTATAAAGAAGTCGTTTTTAGGTTTAAACAAATTTGACCCCTGTAACCCTGAATACGAGTCAAAGTCATTCATTTGAACAAAAAATGTGTAGCCTCTTAGTCTAGCCAAATATCATCACCCTTGGCCTTTTGGTTATTCAGAAGAAGTTGTTAAAGGTTTTAAACATATTTGATCCCTGTGACCTTAAATTTAAGATAAAGTCATTCATTTGAACAAGCTTGGTAGCCCTTCAATCTAACATGTTACTAGCCGAATATCATCACTCTAGGCCTCTTTGGTTATTCAGAAGATTTTCTAAGTTTTTAATAAAGCAAGAATGTTAATGCAATGTTGTTTTGGACCTATAACACACATTGCTATTGATGACAAACTTAACAAGAGGCCCAATGGGCCTGCATCGCTCACCTGGTATTAATCTCACACCTTAAAAGTGCACTAAAATGAAGCTACAGGCAAAATATCAAGTGTCTTCACTTCAAGTCATTCAGAAGAACCTGTTAAACAATTAAAACACATTTGACCCCTGTGACCTTGAAAGTCAAACATGGACATAAAGTTGAAAAAACTGCATAGCCCTTCCTCCCAGAATGCGACTTGCAAAATATCATCACCTTATACCTATTGTTTATTGAGAAGATCACCCTAGACCTTTTGGTTATACAAAAGAAGTCAATTAAAGGTTTTTAAGACAATTGACCCATGTGACCTTGAATATGAGTGCAGGTCATTTGTTTTAACAAACTTGGTAGCCCTTCACGCCAACATCCTTTTGGCCAAATATCATCACGCTGGACATTTTGGTTATTCAAAAGAAGTTGTTTATATTTTTAAATATATTTGACCCCTGTGACCTTGAATATGGGCAAAGGTCATTCATTTGAATGCACTTGGTAGTGCTTCATCCCAGCATGTTATTGGCCAAATATCATCATCCAGGGCCTTCTGGTTATTCATGAGAAGTTGTTGAAAGATTTTAAGATATTTGACCCCTGTGACCTTCAATATTTGTCAAGGTCATTCATTTAAACAAACTTGGTATGCCTTCATCCTGGCATGCTACTGGCCAAAAATCATTATCCTATGCCTCTTCACAGTTATTCAGAAGAAGTTGTTAAAAGGTTTAAAGCATATTTAGCTCCTGTGACCTTGATTATATGCCAAGGTTATTCATTTGAACAAACTTGGCAGTCCTTCATCCCAGCATGCTACAGGCCCAATTTTAGTTCCCTGGGCCTTTTGGTTATTGATTAGTCGTTTGAAGAATTTGACACATTTGTCCGTTGTGAGCTTGAAGTGGGTCAAGGTCGTTCATTTGAACAAACTTGGCAGTCCTTCATCCCAGCATGTTATAGGCCCAATAGCAGTACCCTGGGCCTTTTGGTTATTGAGAAGAAGTTGTTTGAAGATTTTAAGACATTTGACCCGATAACCTTGAAAGTGGGTCAAGGTCATTCATTTAAACAAATTTGGTAGCCCTTCATCTCAGCATGCTTCTGGCCAAATGTCATCACCCTGGGCCTCTTGGTTATTCAGAAAAAGTTGTTTAAAGTAAAAAGTTGATGCCGGACGGACGCCGGATGTGTAGGTCATTATTTTTAATCTTTTCCAGTTTAATCTTCTTGAAAAATTCTGGAGAAGAATTCCAAGATGGCCATGTCATGGTATCAAACTGCCATTTCGAAGTTATAATGTTTATCAAGTTTCAATGATTTCCAATTGAAAATAAACCAAACATACCGAAAAGAATCATTTTGCTATATAACTATAGTATACTTTACCCCATCCCCAGGGGATTAAGTGCTTTAAGACCATTCTGTAGATTATTTGTTTCCAGCACATCTTGGTCTGGATAAGATTTTTTAATTTAAGCCAATTTGACCCCTTTTAGCCCCGCCCCTCAGCCCTTGGGGGCGGGCCCGGGCCCAAACTGTCAAAGTATCAAACCGTTGTTTCATAGTTATAATGACTGTCAAGTTGGAATGCTTTCCAATAGAAAATGAACCAAACATACTCAAAAGTATCATTTTCCTATATAAAGTATAGTAAACTTTTCCCCCTCCCAAGGGGCAAACATAGAGTCTGGAGGTCATGAAATTCACAATTTTGGTGAAGCAACTCAAGACCCTTCCAACTATGATGAGTATTGGTTTCCAGCCTATCCAAGTCTGGAGAAGATGACTGTTGAAATTTCTGGCTAGATGACCCCATTTGGGCTGAGCCCCTTACCCCTGGGGATGAGACAGGGTTAAATATGTCAAAGTATCAAACTGTCAATTCATGGTTATAATGTAAATCAAGTGTAAATGATTTCCAGTAGAAAATGAACAAAATATACCCAAAAGTTGCATTTTCCTATATAAACTTTAGTAAATGTCACCCCCTCCCCAGGGGCAAATGTGAAGCTTGAGGGTCATGAAATTCACAAACCTCAAGACCCTTTCACCTATGAAGAGTATTGGTTTCCAGCATATCTGGGTCTAAGCCAATTTGATTCTTTTTAGCCAAGCCCCTCAGAGCCCCTGGGGGTTGGAACCATATAGTTCACAAATTTGGTGCGTATTTGATGAAGGAAGTTTCCTGGAATTTTTTATTGAAATCGGATCTGCAGTTTCTGAGAAGAAGTTGAAAATGTAAATTGTTTACGGACGGACGATGACAGACTAAAGGCGAATAGAATATGTCACTTGAGACTTGTTTCAGGTGACCTAAAAAACTTGGTAGCTTTTCATCATATAACACTACTGGCCAATTAAAATAGCAACATTCTGGGCATTATGGTTATTCAGAAGAAGTCATTTTAAGATTTTAAACATATTTACCTATGTGACCTTAAATATAAGTCACAGTCTTTCATTTGAATAAACTCTGTAGACCTTTATCCCAGCATATTACTGGCCAAATATAATCATATTGAGCCTTTTAGTTTTACAGGAGAGGTTGTTCCAAGATTTAAAACATATTTGACCCCTGTGACCTTAAATATAGGTTGAGGTCATTCATTTCAACAAACTTGGTAGCCATTCACCCTGGTATGCTACTGGCAAGATAACATGAACCTGGGCCTTTTGGTTATTTAAGAGAAGTCATTAAAATATTTTAAACATATTTGACCCTTGTGACCATTCAAGGAAGCAACCAGCCAGTTATGAAGATTCTATACTTTTTAGTTTTTATTCTCAAACTTTGTAGGGCTCCTACCAAAGAAGCTTTCAGCCAAATATCATGACTCTAGGCCTGTCCGATCTTCAGCAGAAGTTGTTTAAAGGAAAAGTTGACGGACAACGACGGATGCCGCACCATGACATAAGCTAATAATAAGAGGCCCATGGGTCTTAATACAGTCACCTGATTCCTATAGTATTTATTTTTGTTGTTGAAATGTGTACCCATTTGAGTAAAAAAAAGTATAACGTTAACTTTAGTTTGTCAGGACCATGAGCTGATCATTCCCAAATAAAGTTTCAGTTAAATCAACCTATTATAACTTGATTTTAAGTTTGAAATAGTTATTTTCAAAATAGCGGCCAAATTGGATTTCTGATCGACTCGAAAAATCACAACACTTTGTCAGGACCATGAGTCGATCATTCCTACCAAGTTTCAGTGTAACTTCCCAGCAGAACTTGATTTTAAGTTTGAAATAGTTTTTCAAAATGGCGGCTGTGGTGGCCATATTGGATTTCTGATCAACCCGAAAAATAACAACACTTGGTCAGGGAGATGTCAGTAACATTCCCATGAGTAATTAATGGAATCCCTTTGCCAGTATTTCAGCTTAAGTTGAAAATGTAAAATGTTAACGGACGACGACGGACAAAGAAGGATAGCAATAGGTCACTTGAGCTAAAGCTCAGGTGAACTAAAAAGGGACCATGGGAAACCTTCAACTGAAATTTGAAAAAAGTTCCCTCCAGCACTTTCTGAGAAATAGCGCTAACAAGAATTGTTTAAAGATAGATGGACAGAGTGACATCAACCAGATATTATTTGAAAACCCACCATCTGATTGATGATAATGGCAGGCTAAACATTTACCATGTTTCATATGAATTAATAACCTTTTACAATATAATACACACTTGCCTGTTTCCAGAAGGCTTGTTTGTACCTAGAATAAGAAAATATATCTTTATTATTGATTAATAAAATATGGCATGTTTAATTTGCTTGAACATAATTAAATGTTATTCCATATAACCCCATATTCACGTAACGTTAGGATTATTTATGACTAGCACTAATAACAAACTAGACACATGTTCTCTTCATATATTATGTGAAAGGTTTTTTATGGAAAAAGGAATACAATACACTAGTCAGTTCGAGATGTAGGTTCCTTACAATCTAAAATGTTGAAATTGATCTGTGTTGGCCATATTCTGTAATACTTGTCCCTTCAAGGCTTTGGACAAACCAAAACCACTATTGCTTAAGCCTTTTGAAAAGCTTTTGGCAATAGTTCTATTGTTTAAATATAAGGTAGATGTCATGACCTCCAATCGTTTAATAACAAGAGGCTCAATGAGCCTGAATCACTCACCAGGTATCAATCAAACACTTGTAATCTAAAATACAGCTACAGGCAGAATATCAGTGTTTGATTCAAAAGAATCTATTAATAGATTTAAACTTGTGACACCTGTGACCTTGACATTCAAACAAGGACATTAAGTTGAACTGACTTTTAGCCTTCAATCCCAGCATCCTTCAGCCCAAATATTATTACCCTGGACCTTCTGGTTGTTCAGAAGTTGTTTAAAGTTTTCATCATATTTGACCCCTGTGACTTTGAAAATGGGTGCAGATCATTCATTTGAACAAATTTGGAAACCCTTCATCCCTGCATGTTACTTGCCAAATATCATTACCCTGGTCCTTTTGGTTATAAAGAAGAAGTGGATTACAGTTTTCAACATTTTTGACATCTGTGACCTTGAATATAAGTCAAGGTCATTCATTTTAACAAACTTGGTCGCCCTTCATCCAAGCATGCTACTGGTCAAATATCATCACTCTAGGCATCATAGTTATTCAGAAAAAGTCGTTTACAATTTTTAACATATTTGACCCCATTTGAACTTGGAAATAGATAGAGGTCATTCATTTAAACAAACTTGGTAGCCCTTAATTCCAGCATCCTACTGACCAAATATCATCACGCAAAGCCTTTTGGTTATTTAGAAGTAGTTGTTCAAAGGTTTTGGCATATTTGACCCTTATGACCTTGACCATGGACGAAGGTCACTCATTTTAACAAACTTGATAGCTCTTTATCCAAGCATGATAATAGCTAAATATCATCATCCTGGGCCTCATGGTTATTCATCAGAAGTCGTTTAAATAGTTTTCAACTTATTTGACCCCTTTGACCTTGAATTCAATTCAAAGTCATTCAATTTAACAAACTTTGTAGCCCCCCATCATAGCCTGCTACTAGCCAAATGTCAACATCCTGTGAATTTTGGTTATTCAGAAGAAGTTCTTTAAAGATTTTTAATATATTTGATCCCTGTGACCTTGAATTAATGTCATTTATTTGGATAAACTTTGTAGCCTTTCATCTCATCATGTTACAGGCCAAATATCTTCTTCCTGCACCTTTTTGTTAGTCAGAAGTAGTAGTTTCAAGGTTTCAGACATATATGACCCCTGTGACCTTGAATATAAGTCAGGGTCATTCATTTGAACAGACTAAGTAGCCCTTCATCCCAGCATGGGTCAAGGTCATTCAAATGAACAAGCTTGATAGCCTTACATCCAAGCATGCAACTGGACTGGCCAAACATCCGGGGCCTCATGGTTATTCAGAAGAAGTCAAATTAATATTTTGAACATATTTGACCCCTGTGACCTTAAATATAGGTTAAGATCATTCATTTTAACAAAGTTGGTAGCCCTTTATCCAATCATGTTACTGGCCAAATATCATTATACTGTGCCTTATGGTAATTAAGAAGAAGTGGATTAAAGATTTAAAAGATTTGATACCTGTGAACTTGAACAAGATGCCCAAGAGGGCCTGTATCGCTCACCTGAATATTAAAGCAGTCATAGCAAAATATTTTCATTAAATATTATATTGCACTAAAAATATTTCCCTCACAAACTTTGTTGGCTCCATCTGTTGAAACTACCAGCAAAATATTTTTACAAGATTCTATGCTTTTTGATTCTTCAGACGTTGCTTGACATATGTTTCCCTGTGACCTTGTAAGTAGGTCAATGTCATTTTCCTTCTCAAATTGGTAAGCTCTATTCCAAAAGCTACCAGCCAAATCTTATGAATCCATTCCTTTTAGTTCTTAAGAACAAGTCCATTAAAATGTTGTTGACCTGTGTTGTTGAAGGTCAAGGTCACTTTCATTCGCAAACTTTGTTGGGCTCTTTCCCAGGAAATAACCAGCCGAATATTAAGGTTCTATAACTTCCAGTTCTTCAGAAGAAGTCATTTGAACTCTTTGACATATCTGCCTCATGTGACCTTAAAAGTAGGTAAAGGTCATTTTCATTCTCAAACTTTGTTGGGCTCTTTCCTAGGAAGCTACAAGCCAAATATAAAGATTCTATACCTTTCAGTTGTTCAGAAGAAGTCGTTTGAAGTGTCTGACACATTTGTCCCCTGTGCCCTTGAAAGAAAGTCAAGGTCATTTTCTTCCTCAAACTTTGTCGGGCTCTATCCAAGGAAGCCATCAATCAAATATAAAGATTCTATACCTCTCAGTTCTTCAGAAGAATTAATTTGAAGCTTTTGACACATTTGACTCCTGTGACCTTGAAAGTAGAACAAGGTAATTTTCATTCTCAAACTTTGTTGGGCTCCATCCCAGGAACCAATCAGCCAAATATGAAGATTCTATACCTTTTAGTTCTTAAGAAGAAGTCGTTTGAAGTTTTTGACATATTTGACCCCTGTGACCTTGAAAGTAGGTCAAACTAATTTTCTTCCTCAAACTTTGTTGTGCTCTATCCCAGGATGGCACCAGCCAAATATAAAGATTCTATACCCTTCAGTTCTGCAGAAGAAGTCATTTGAAGCTTTTTACACATTTGACTCCTGTAACCTTGAAAGTAGCTCAAACTTTGTTGGGCTCCATCCCAGAAACCAATCAGCCAAATATGAAGATTCTATACCTTTTAGCTCTTTAGAAGAAGTCATTTGAAGTTTTAGACATATTAGACCCCTGTGACCTTTAAAGTAGGTCAAGGTCATTTTCGTTCTCAAACTTTGTAGGGCTCCTATCAACAAAGCTTTCAGCCAAATATCATGACTCTAGGCCTATCCGTTCTTCAGAAGAAGTTGTTTAAAGGAAAAGTTGACGGACGAGGACGGACGGACGGACGGACGACGGACGACGGACGCCGCACCACGACATAAGCTCACTTGCCCTTCGGGCAGGTGAGCTAATAAAGATCAAGGCCGTTCATTTATACAACTTGGTAGCCATTTATCCTAGCATATTACTGGCAAAAAAATATCATCATCCTAGGCCTTCTTGTAGGACATTTGTAACGAACCCCCTGTTGATCAGTGCAGTGTAACAGACGATATTTTTGATAAATTGCATGAGCGTTAAAATGGTTTTCATTGCCTGCATTGGTGATTTCAACCGATGTGCATTTTGTACGATATTGCAGACCTTGGTCTTGTTTTTGTTGTAATAAAAGTATTTTTTATTATTTTTTATTTTGCACATAAATTTACAATGACATTGTCAAATCTCACAATGCCCAGCGATATTTCAGCAGCCGTCATGTTTATTTACATTGGATATTGTAGTTCCGGTCAGTGTTGTATTAATACGCTAAGAATTATGTCTCGTGCTGCATGGTAATTAAAGTCCCATCAACGACACAGCTTTCAAAGAGGCTATATAGTGACAATGCCATGCAAATGTAAATATATATACAACAAGAGGCCCATGGGCCTTAACGGTCACCTGATATATTTATACAGAGAGTTGATTTTGTTTTTAACATGAACAAAAATATTATTCAAAGTGACAAAAAACAATAAAACCAACTTATTCAATATCTAGCATACAGATTTCAGACTAAAAAGTACTGACTCCTTTGAGCCCCATCCTACAGCCCTTGGGGGTATAGGGCTGGCTCAAAATTTTCAAAGTATCAAACTGTCAACTCAAGGTTATAATTCCAATCAAGTTATTAACATGTAATATTCAAAGTATCATTAGCCATTATAAACCATAATAAAGTTTGCCCCCCGCCCCTACTTCCCCAGGGGTTAAACGTGAGACCCTTGGGTCATAAACCTTAAGACCCTTCCATCTATGAAGAGTATTTGATTCTACCATATCTGAGTCTTGAGAACAAGATTTTTGAAATTTCAGTCAATTCAACCCTTTTTGGCCCCACCCATCAGCCCCTCAGGGTCAATCAGGGCTGATATGTGCTTATATCAAACTGCTACCTAATACTGATAATGCTAACCCAAATTGAATTACTTCCAATGGAAATTAAACAAATGTTGGTCCAAAATGTGATTTCCCTATATAAACTATAGTAAAGTTTACCCCCTCCCCAGGGGGAAA